ACAAATGGGTTTCTGCATTCCACATTTTTATGTCGGTTCACATTCAGAAATATCCTGAGGATGTTCAGGCTATGTTAAAGTATGTTAGTACAATCAGAGAGCTATCCCAGAAAGGGGGTAACTGGTATGCCTATGATACTAAATTTCGGAAGTTGAGGTCAGAAAACAATTTGGATTGGGGAACAGTACACTGGGAATTATGGTTTGGTGCAATTACTTCAAATTTGCAGAATTTTCGTCCCTCAAACCAAAAGCCATTTAAGGCAAAGACATCAGGGTCTGCCAAAGCTGCCATCCCAAACGGTTCCTGCTTCAGCTTTCATCTCGGACGGGAATGCAATGCCAAACCTTGTAGATACAGTCACTATTGTCCCCAATGCGGAGGTGACCATGGCTACAGTAAATGTGGGCAGAGGAAAGAATTTGGTAGACCAAACCGAGGGAACCAACCTCCCAACCCCTATAAACGTGCATAAGCTAGAACATTGGCTTGAAGGTTATGATAAAGAAATCACTGATTATCTATTAGAGGGTTTCAAGTTTGGGTTTCGCATTGGATACGAGGGTAATTTAATATCAGGAGATTGTCACAACTTAAAAAGTGCTTCAGATAACATAGACGTGGTCCAAAACAAAATAAGCAAAGAATTAAGACTAGGTAGGATATCAGGCCCCTATAAACGGTTTCCACTAAAGGATTTTCATATATCTCCCCTAGGGGTATGCCCCAAAAAAGTCCCAGGTCAATTTAGAATGATCCATCACCTTTCTTATCCTTACGGTAACTCTGTCAACGATGGTATACCTGAAAAGGCGAGCAATGTACATTATGCTTCCTTAGATGAAGCAATTGACATTATTGTTAGGATGGGCTCGGGGTCTTATATGGCGAAGTGCGACATTGAATCAGCTTTCAGAATTGTACCTATTCACCCTCACGATTATCACCTACTTGGAAAGGAGAATATTATTTCGATAAGTGCTTGCCAATGGGTTGTTCGTCAGCATGCAAAATTTTCGAGACGTTTAGCACTGCGTTGAACTGGATTGCAATTAACAAACTCGGGATAGGACACATGCTGCATATTTTAGACGACTTCCTCATTATTTCTCAGGGCAGGGGCAAGTGTCGGGGAGAACTTGAAGCATTTTTAAACATATGCGGAGATATTGGTGTTCCTTTTGCGCCTGAAAAAACAGTAGGGCCTGCCAACTGTCTCCAGTTTCTAGGAATCGAAATAGATACTATTGCCATGGAAGCCAGGTTACCTTCAGACAAATTAGTTAAGGCTAGAAGCTTGACCGCTGAGATGTGCAAGAAGAAGAAAGTTAGACTTAGTGAGCTGCAATCCTTATTAGGCTACCTTAATTTCACTTGTAAAGTTGTGGTACCAGGTAGGGCTTTTCTTAGGAGATTGTATGATTTAACTGTCGGGACCCAGAGACCACATCATCGGATACGGTTAAATAAGCAAGCTCGGGAGGATCTTAAATTGTGGCTGCAATTTCTGGGTCAGTATAACGGGATATCCGTATTGCGGAAACAGGCGTGGTTGTCGAATAGTGCGCTTCATCTCTTTACCGACGCTGCAGCGTCGTTAGGGTATGGAATTGTTTTTAGAAGCAAATGGGCGTATGGAGTTTGGCCAGGCTGTTGAAAGTTGTTTAACATAGCTGTCTTAGAGTTTTTTCCCATTGTGTTGGCAGTTAGATTATGGGCTGAAGAGCTAAGAGGAAAATGTATTCTGTTTCATACAGACAACATAGCTTTAGTGTCCGTTATCAACAAGCAAACGTCTAAAGAAGTCAAGTTGATGTCCTTGGTGAGGGACCTTGTTCTTTCGTGTTTGAAACGGGATATAATTTTCAGAGCGGAACACATACCGGGAAGACATAATAAGTCGGCAGACCTACTTTCTCGTTTACAGATATCAAAATTTGTCAGTCAGGCACCATGGGCAGACAAGCAGGAAACGCGGATTCCTCCGCCCCTACAACCCGAGAATTATCTATTCACTTAGATACTTTATTAGGGGCAGCTCTATGTAAGAATAGTCAGGCTACTTATACCAGAGCGTGGGAATTGTACAATGAATTCTCCCGGGATTGTCTAGGTATTTCGCCGGCGCTACCGATAGCAACACCTAACTGGGCACTATTTTTGGCGTATATGTTCCATTTAAAGTTAGCACCTTCAACAATGAGGACCTACATTTCAGCGTTAGGTTACATTCATAAAATTCGCGGTTTAGAGGACAAATCAAATTCTTTTCAAGTTCAGAAGTTGTTACATGGGGCTAAGTGTCTAAACTCTTCAGTAGACCAGCGTCTTCCAATCACAGAGGACATACTGGGCAGGACGATTGACTCATTACCTGTGGTGTTTTCCAACCCTTCAATCAGACTACTTTATGAGACAATGTTTTTAGTTGCCTTTCACGGATTTTTTCGGATTGGTGAACTGACGGTGCGTAGTTCGGATGAGGAAGCGGCCTTGCAGGTGCAGGACGTTTCACTTTCCAGCTCCGCGGCCTATCTTAATATATCGATGTATAAACACAACAGCGGTAAAGCTAGCAAGATCGTCACACTAGACAAGTTAGACAGTACCCTATGTCCAGTTGCTGCGCTCAAACGTTACCTACGACAAAGGTCTCTCTTCCCAGGCCCTCTGTTTTGTGACAGATGCTTTAAACCGGTAGCAAGATCCTCCTTTAACGAGGCACTCAGAGTTGTATTTAACTTCTTAAGGTTAGATTCTACTAGATACAAAGGACACAGTTTCCGTATAGGTGCAGCATGCTCGGCAGCAAAGAAAGGCGAAGGGGCCGGTGGAATTCAGATGCATTTAAAGCATACATTCGTGTTCAGCTGTAGAGAATAAGGGTTGTTGTCGGTAACGTAGCTCAGCGGAAAAAGAGCCTATTTGCTGAATAGGACCAATTAGAAGTTTGGCAATCTAGAGTTTTATTTATCACTTAAATGTAGGGAAAATGCGATTGCTATTGATCTACTCATACAGAGTCTGTTGTTCAATGTATCACTTACTATATTATAATGTGTGTTAACTTGTTATGGTTCATTATGCCAAGACAGGGAGTGTGGTGTTTCGCATGGGCAGACACTATGCTTCATGGTCAGGCGAGTTTGTTCAATTAGTAGCTACATGTAAATATTTACACGTCGCAACTAGGGGCCTTTATGAATTACATAGTAGAGTTGAGTGTTGTATGGTTGCATTTTATACCTTACCCTTATAATAAAGAGCATGAGCAGGCACTATGCCTCATGGTCAGGCAATTTGCTCAATGAGTTTCATTATTTAATTCTAATAATGATTAATGTTAATAATTTCATGTTCCATCAAGGAATCTTTTACGATTTCCATTTCGTGCGGGCTATCTCAAGTATTGGTCCGCACCAATAATTAACTACAACTGTTTTAGATTACATTGTTTACGAAATGTAGGCCTATATAGACTATTAGTACGTCATGAAACAAAATATTTTATGATAAGCTAGATAAGAGATACTGCCACCAGGATTCACTTTTGCAGGCAACAGACGTTACCGAAGACGAATCCCCAGGTGGAAGTGAAGAAAGAGACTCGGGCCAACCGGTCAATACATAACACTTCCTCTGGACCTGGAACTCTGTGCTATGTTTGTGTGTTTGTATCAAAGATACTCAGTCAATGCAGATTGCATATATCATATTTCGTGCATAGAATTAGGGAGGAGGAAGCTGCTTTAAATTTTATTGATACGTTTCTATAAACTCGTCCCGAGACCGTCGTCGGGTGGGGGCATAGTGTTCCACTATTGTGGCGTTGTTTCCCCCACCTTTGTGGCTTATTTCATACAATTTCGGATTGATGAATTGTACGCTCAGGCGTATATACCTTGTAATAAATTTGTCCGCCTTTTGTGCGGGCCTAAACAACAATTTTCAGTGTCTGTAATTTTTGCCACAAATGAACTGGACGTTCTCGGGTCTAAGGGTTTTTGAGTATAAATGCAAAATTTTTCAAAAAATTGTTTTATGGGAAAAAACCCAGTTGCGCTTCATGCGCGCTGCCCGGGTACACCTCATGGCGGGAATCAATACGTCACTTAAAAGATATGACGTAACGGTGACGTCATCCATGTTAGCGTCATCCACGTCAGCTTTCTGATTAACGCGCATCTCCGCCTGGATAGCCGCCCGCTCCGGACGTGTTTTGCCCTGTCTCATTTTAGCAACTTAAAACCACCTCCTCCCAAGCCTCCTCCTCTCTATATCGCTATTTAGGTTCCTTTTTCTTAGTCATGTGCGTGTATGCGTTGTTTCCCCCACCTTTGTGGCTTATTTCATACAATTTCGGATTGATGAATTGTACGCTCAGGCGTATATACCTTGTAATAAATTTGTCCGCCTTTTGTGCGGGCCTAAACAACAATTTTCAGTGTCTGTAATTTTTGCCACAAATGAACTGGACGTTCTCGGGTCTAAGGGTTTTTGAGTATAAATATGTTTATTCTTATCCTATGATACTCTCTAAACGTTGATTTCTTTACACGAGTTCGACCATTGTTATTAGACATATGCAACGAGCTTGACCATTCTTATTACAAATATACCGAAAGCTATTAAGCCAAATTGTCCAATGTTTGGATCGTTTTTCTCAAATTGATAAATATCATTGAACGCATTTCAGTATCATTCAACTCCTCACTGATCCGTGTATGTTACATGTTTAACGAAACGTTCGTAGAATATTCAACATTGCGTGCGACAAATTTTCCTTTGCAAAATTGAGAAGGCATCTAAGAATATGCATACATATGTTGACAGTAATGCCTGATTGTATCCAAGCGGTGATAGCTGCTCAAAAGGTTAACCACTTATGGCGTAGCACAATGTCAAATATTTACAGGCCATTTCCGACTGTGGCATAAAAAAAGATTCACTGACCTTTTTAACTAAAATATAAAGTCTGATAAACAAAACAGAACGTGGGTAACCTTGCAGAATTTATTAAATTAGTCACGAATAATAGTTACAAATATCACAATTCACAATCTCCTACTGTCACTGCAAACAAAACGTTGATAACATTTACTTTGCGTCAGTGGTCACTCGGGGACAGGTCCACGTCATCAGTAACATGCCATCATTAGCCGAACTAGTTCTAAGTAGAATTTTGTTGTTTTAGCTGCAGTGACAACTAATTATTATCATTTCAGTTGATAGATGAATACGGAGTACCAGTTCAAACTACTGCTACATTCACAACTTGTCTAAGCATAAGCATCTCAGTGCTGTCAATAAAATACAAAATTAAAGTATCAAAATTATATTTTCCTGATCAATTTTCTTAGATATGTCGAACTATTAAAGGCAAAAGATCATGGCAGATCTCTCATAAACTGCATCTTGATTAATATCGACACAGTCACCACGGCCAACAACCGAGCAGACAGTTTCTCAACACTGGCACCTGAAATGCAAGACAATCCGTTCGATACTTAAGGCTTATTGTGCTTTCCTTTAAAATTTCCCTTTAACTAATTCATTATTTTATCGAAAAATGTCATGTTACTGTTTAATAGGACGAACTATGTTTATGATAATTATTCACAGTAAATATCTGTCATGCGTTGATACGGTCTGATATGAATTGAAGTAATTTTGTTTTCCTACCATTCTGGCACGTGGGTCCACTGTATCCGTTAACACATACACATTGCTTAGGAGTTGTGGTACCATTGCAAGTCCCGCTGTGTAAGCAGTCTTCATTCTTTGCACATGCATCTTCTGAAACAACATATAGATCATTTCAAACCTGCAAAATTCTTGCAAAAAGTGGCTTTCACCGAAGTGGTAAACGTCTGAGACCTGCACCACTTCGGGCTTTCCTTCCATATTAAGCTGACACGCCGAGATATAACTGGAATACTGTTAAAAGCGGCGTTAAACCAAACTCACTCACTCACTTCGTTTTGACAATTGATTACCAGCTCCGGCGAATATATATGGTGCCGATACACATCCATCTCAACATTGTTGACAGAAATGAGGTCATTTATGTGTCTGAAACTGACATTTTGGCAACGTGTCCTTTCCTTGATTTAACTAAAGTAGCCAATAATCCGAATCGTATGCAAAGAGAAACAGATCGCCTTTGAGGGGAACAAAGTGTGTACCAATAATAGACATTACATCTTATATAGTGACAGCACGCTCTATTTTTGACCCTTGTGGCAATTGTACCAGTGACTGATGTTATGAGTAAAGATTCGCGCCGCCAGGGTCCAGTGACACCCAATCAACCATGTCGCCGAGCCCGACCAACCGATCAGTGTTATCGCAGAGGTTGATGTCGACAGATTCCTGGGTCTGTATCGTGATTAAGTTATTTATTCAGTTTGCAGGTGTCCCCGCCATAGCCAGACATGCATGTACATATGCTTTGCTTGCCTGCTGTCTCCGTACAGTTGCCACTGTTCAAGCACTGGGGAATACTTGAAGAATAATTTGAAGAAAACTTGGGTTCTGTAAAGGCGCATTCAATAAATTGAATGTAAACCTGATGGAATGGTAGACATTAAGTCTCATTCTGAATTTAACCCGTTGTGCCTTTTATACAATGTAAAATGTCATTGTTGGTTCTACGATGATGTAAGCAAAGACGAAGAAGCAATTAAGTACTTAAGGCATTCCATATCAGAACGATTGTCGACTGCCAGAAGCCAGTTCCCAAGCCAGCTGCAGGCGTCTGAACTACGGTTTTGTGTGCCACCGAGACGCTTTATCTTTGTAATTAATCTAAATTAAATCTTTACGTTCTACATCGAATGTATGGTCAGCAGTCAGACAAAGTTGTTTTGGGGTATCATTTAAGCATATGGGTATACACGCAAGAACTGATGTGGGATTGAAATGATAATTATATAAATAGTATAATTAAGAATTAGGGGATATTTCTGTGAATAAGATGTGAAAGTTTCTAACCCTGATCACATTTGTCTCCGCCATAACCACCAGTACAGGTGCATGTTTTGTTTCCATCGGTCCCTCCACATGTACCATGATTGCTGCAGCTGGTAGCATTGGTGCAGTTGTCTTCCGCTTGTACGTTCTGGACGATGCACACAACAGTTACCATCAGAGCTAAACAATAAAAAGCAAATTCTGTGAATACCTGAATTCTGTCACTGTATTTGTATCTCCTTTTGCTCTTTTTTAGTCAGGTACAATAACAAATATGCCTTGCTGTGTGTTTGACCTGCACCATTTGGACATTAAACTTGACACCCCGTGGTATAACAGCATGAAAGATAATTTAATAAAAATATATTAAATACAACAATTTCATGTTCTAGTACGGATATTGTACAAATAATTACTCTTGACGAGATCAATATGCGAAAACAAGGACCTTAGGATCCGACATATGATGCTTAAACCGTCATCTGTTTTATTCCTATAACTTAGCTGATAACCGTGAAACCATCTTGTTTTCTCCCCGGCGAGTCAATATTTGAGGTCCGTGTCAGTTTATTGTTTCGTCACGTGGCACGGATTGACCAATGGAATTGCAAGATTCTTATTAGAGGTATGCCAATCATAAATACACGAGATCATTTCATCATTGTCAATAGTCGGTCCAATCAAATAAGCATGCAGCACGTATGTATCTGCTTTATCGCCTGTATCACACAGTATACCATACAACAGTTCACAATTCACAATTCAGTAGGGACAGTCGTTTGGGAAAACCAATGAGGGAAAAGAAACTTGATGAAATATGTAGTTTCATGAATAAATGAATTTCTCCAACCCATCAGCGTCATATTGTTCGAACATTATCATGATTTACAAGAAATATGGAATGGGAAATTATTGTTTCAAATTATGTTCATTAGTGCAATAACATCTGCTTTAACATCAAGATTTTGATGAATTGTTGGTTGAATTGGATAGACTGCTTCGCCGACGTCAACCACAACCCTAGACGTTACAGCAGATGGCTTCTGCGTTGCAGGCCGAGTTGGCTACCATTCCCCAGGATGTGATTCGCATACTCGTCTCTTCCAAGGGCAGGAGATGTCAGGCTGCTATCGATTCCGACGGGGGACTAACGCGTTATTGATGGAAGCTGACCTTCACCTTGGGCTTTTCCTATGTACCGATAACTGAGATGATTACAATCACCAAGTGTTCTCTCCACAACATTTTGGCTCAGTACCTTGAACGGTTCCTCGCATAAATGTATTTTCTTACCTCACACAAATCTGGTTTTGCATTCCTTTTTTGAAGAGTATACCTGAAATAATCTGCACGGCGTTGTTTAACCCCACTCGTCCCATTATTAATAGTCATTCCCCATAATATGGATAGAGACGCTACCTCCATTATACTTTCATTCTGTCCCCAATGAACGAACATACTGATGGAGCGTCAACCAAATTCAGACAATTTTGAAATTTAGTAGTCAGTTTGGGACAACACTAGAACAGTTATAATCTAGGACATTTGTACATTCCAAAGGAACTAGCATGTGTCATAGATTGAGATGAGTGAGGTGAAATGGGGTTTAACGTCACGTTCAAAATTTCAGTCCTTGTTTTAGCCCCTCACTACGGAGCGCCAGGGAGGTTAACATCAAGCACCATCTGTTAACGCTTTATGACGCGGCCGGGGATCACCCCACGATCTTCCGCGCTCCGGGCAGACGCTCTACTACTACACCACGGAGGCGGCATATTTAGAATGAAATAATAATGTTAATGATGTGCATATTTATAATGCGTCAATCCACAACTCAAACAGCTACATTATTACCCAGGTCTATGGCTCGGTGTGCACTCGATCTTTTTTCTCAGCTCCCTGGAGAATATACATGTACAAGCCAAGCTGGTGTTAGGCGCTAGGCTAACCGTCACATTACCATGTTATCATACCAGGTCCATTCACTGCTTATTTCGAATATTTCAAACAAAGTCACCTGCCTAAGGAGTACAACATGGGCTACATGTGCTTCAGTGTGGGGCAGGACCGAAGCCCTAGAAACTCTCAGAAGTCAAGTTGCCGAACGCTGTCATCCATCCAACTACTGTCCGCGATCAACGTTGCTTAACTTCTACCGAACAGAATAACACATCCAATAGATATTTATAGTTTGACATTAATGAAATACGTGAAACTCACAAATCAGCAGAGGTGTAACGGAATTGTTGAACATCTTGGCAGGCCCAGGTCCAAATATCTCACTCTCTGTGACGGCTTCGTCCACCACTTGCGAGCGGTTGGAATGGTGGAGCTTTTATATCGTATGTAACCATGGCTTCTTTGTTGATAGTTACCCCTGTGTGCTTCCGTAGGTTATAGATAAGTAAATCACTGTATTTGTGTAAATCTATGCCTGTCCATGGCCAATACCAACATGTTTTATCATGACTGAGCGAACCCTGTGTTTGTTTGAGAATTTAAAAAAAACACATCACACCTATAATTGATCTGCGGACAAACAAGCCGATTTATCACGATAAGAATTGACAAGGCATTTCAGTGATCGTTGTGTTTTCTATATTTAATTATCTTCATAGGTTAGCCCAAACATTTTTAAATATTTTACGAACGTTCGGACTTGTTTCAAAACGACTGGATGTTTCTTACACCAAGTTACACTGCCACAGCTTCTGAATCACTTCAGCACTCGACAGTCGCGTGAACCCGGTAGCATCGCGTGAATCACTTAACAGTTATTAAAACTGAATACTACTACTGTTACAACATATCATGTATATAAGCCCCCATTACTTTGTCTAGTCACTCCTGCTTGATAAGGGTGTAAGAATTTACATTGAACCGTCGCTTAGTGCAATAAACCAGAAGTAGTTATCGATAAAGTTGTATGTTTTCTTTTTTACTCACAAACTTCTAGATTGACTGTTATAAACCTTTTTTGACTTTAAGAATTGTTACACCATAGATATAATTTGTGCCCACAGATACAATTCATTCATTCTATTCGGGTTAGAATACGTCCCAAACAACCTGTGCTGGTCGGGTCGGGTGGTCAGGCTGAGTCATTGGTTGATTGCGTGTCATCGTACCAGGGCAGCGTGGGACGTTGGCGGATGGATGACCTGCTTCAGCAAGCATGACTCGCGAGAGTTTAAAGGGCTTCGGTCATGCCCAACACTGAAGCATGTTACAAGTGGCGTCCCGGTCCTTAGGCAAGTAAATATATGTACGAATTAAGACTTATTATTCTAAAATGATCCCCATGTATGTGTACATTTCTTTGCGCCTTAAGCACAGGAGTCAATGCAGAACACTCTGTCAAAACGTTACTGATGCTATGTGTACACAATATATAATCGATGAACCTATTTCATTGCGTGACTGGTGCCAAATTTAAAGACAAAATGCAACGGGTATCTCATTACAACAAGTCTTTAAGAGAATTCTGGTGACACAGATGTAAATCGTTCATGCTATCGGGGGATGTGTAACCTGCAAGTGGGGTGAGGTGAAATGGGGTTTAACGTCGCGTTTGAGATTATCACACTTATATATCGACGTGCGTGCACACAGTATCCTGACTCCGAGCCGACCAGTCCTTGTTTTAGCCCCGTAATGCCTAGTGCCAGTCAGGGTAACATCAAGTTCGTCTTTTGGTATGATGCGGCCGGGGATCGAACCCTGGACCTTCCGCTGTCCGGGCGGACGCGCTACCACTAGACCACGGAGGCTGTTGCCTGCAAGTGAGATTAAGGGAGAGATAGCGAAATGTTTTTGTGTTTGTCAGGCCAGCTGACTTGGTTGGTTGATGCATCTCATCGTATCCCAATTGCCGCACTCAGCAATTTTCCAGATATATGGCGGGGGTCTGTAAATAATCAAGTCTGGACCAGTCAGACAATCCAGTGATTGACATCATGAGCATCGATCCACGCAATTGGGATCGATGCCATGCATCAACCAAGTCAGCGAGCCTGACCGCCCGATCCCTTTCCACCGCCATATAACTGGAGTGCGTTGGTAAATAACAAACAAACACATCTAAACTGCAAAGAGACGACAACACGTGTACATGTATTATAATTCAGGGATCGGTCGTCCTCTAAACCATCGCCTTAAGATGACACTAGACACAAACATTATTTCTAAAGATCACCACGACAGAAGCAAAGTAGATCAATAAAATCTGCGAAAGCAAAATTTTCAAGTACTTCGTCTTTAAATGAAAAGGGTATTACGTTTCAAATAGATAACATTGTTTCGTCGGGATCCCCCTCCCACAACTCCCCCATCAACACCCCCCGCCCCCACCCAACCCGACTGCAGTTAACGTTATCAATATCCATGGGTGTACTCTTTGCTGAACAACCTCCCAGATACGAACCTATGGGACGCTACTCAAATGCAACTGATCCCACCTTGTATAAGGCTGTGTTTGGGTAACGTGACACATCCCATATGCATTCAACATTAGATAAGACGACCTTCCGTGTGGATTTCACCTGTCACAATTT